AGGAGGGGCGTGGGGGCAATTACCATATATTAGCATACCAGCGAGCGTCACGTGGCTCCTCCAGCCAATGGTCACTCCGGAAAGGCGGGGATTGGGCTGAACACGCCCAGGTGCTGCTCCCGGCCTGAACCGGTGGCCATGGCAACGGCGGGTGGGGCGGGGGCCTGGGGAGGCGCTGGAGCCCCGTAGAGCATCTCCCCTCCCTGAGTGATCCCCACGCGGAGACGCGGCGCGCTTTTCCCGTCCCGCGGAAGAAGCGGGGCCGAGTTTGGCTGAGCTCAGAAAGATTCAGAGTCAGCCAACACTCATTGAACGCGCACCATGTGCCTAACACTTTTCTGCAGAATATGATTCTCGGGATAGCCCCATGATGTAGGAACTGTTAACCCATTTGATAGAAGGGAACGAGGCGTCTCAGAGAGGTTAGGTCACTTACCCAAAGTCACCCAGTCACGCTAAAGGACAATGTGGAATCTGAGCCCATTTCTGAATTCAGGCTCAGGAGCCCCTAAGTTATTTTCTCCACCGGGGTCTCCCAGCACCTCCTCACAACTCCAGGTGTACAAAGCAGAGAAAATCCTTATACAAACATTGTACAGTGCTTTAGTGTTTCTTTATAATGACCTTTGAGGTTACTAGGCAGAAAAGTTGTGCCCATATTGCAGATGAGGAGAAATGAGGTTCAGAGAAAGGAGGTGACCAGCCTTAGGTCAAACAGCTATTAAGAGCTAGTGCTTAATAACTACAATTTATATATACTAAAGCTTGCTACTTTATAAACTTTTAAAATTAATCTTCTCAACATGGTTGTATTGCTATGACCATTTTACAGATCAAGAAACCAAGGCTTTGGGAAGTTAAGCAAATTGTCGAAGGTTACACAGCTAATAAGTAGCAGATTTAGGGTTCAAATTCAGGTTTATCTGGCTCCAAAGCTAGTCTCATGATGTCTCATTGTATCAGGTTCATTTAACTTAGGCTTGGAATTTAGAACCCCTTCTCTAACCAAAGTTTTCTCCTTTCCTCTTATGATGTAAATATATTTTCTTTTAATACAGTAAAATACCACATACAAGTGATATGTGTTAAGGTCCCTTCAGGTGGGTAAGGACATCCTATAATTATCTGCCTCTTCATTTTATCCCTTAGGGATTTGACAGTTCTCCTGAAGGCAGAGTAGCTTAAAAGCATAAGCATCTGTATATGGACTTTCCTTCTGCTCCGTTCTTTAGTGGTTCTCTAATTATTGGATAAGGCCTTATGCCTCAAACCAAATGTGCTAAATTTTATAAGTATTTTAAGGGATTATCAAAGATAATTTTAAATATATGTGCATTTTAATTTACTGGGTTGACTTAAAATCCAGTTTCCTCCTAAGCTCTGACTGGTGTTCAAGATCACGAACATGGAGGCAGACCTACTTGGGTTAAAATTCTGACGACTACTCACTAATGTGTGACCTTGGGTAAGTTAACCTCTCTGTGCCTCAATTTCCTCATTCGTAAGATAGGATAGGAATGGTGTGAGAATTAAATTAATTAACGTCTACAAAGCATTTAGCACAAGCCCCTCTGAGAGGTAAAACCTCCATAACGGTTAGCTGTTATAGGAACAGACAACCCACATGTACAGAATCTCTCAAGGTTTCCTAGCTGGCTTTGGAATTCTGAAGCTGCCTCCCATCCCTCGTGGCATATTAAACAGCCTGTTGTGCTGGCGAAGCCTTGTTTATCTCTCCAAACGACATTCGCTCTTCGTAGGATCATAAATAATTCCTGAACTCAAAGGAGTCGGTTTCCTCTGCACATCTCCTCACACCAAATTACCAGAGTGGCTCCTTGCAGAGGGGATCTCCACAAACAGCGGAGCCATGAGTCAGGCTCCTTGAAACACTTTTATGAGCGTCTTAATGAGGGAGATGAGCTGTCATCAGGAACTCCTCTGTCCTTCCTGGCCACAGGAAATGAGCTCTTTGTGCTCAAAGAGTTTCCAAAGCTGAGGCGCAAAGAGTTTTCAGGAAGTGGCCCAGGGATGAGAAGCTGTTGACTCAGAGAATCCCAGGGCTAAACAGCCCCTATCCTGCCATTCCCCTTATAGGGTCAAATTCCTCATGGTCTGATTGCAGCAATAGGACCAAAGGGTGGCTTGCACGAGGGGTGTAATCCTCTCTCCTTCCCCCTGTGTACACACTTCAACAGCCACCCCTCCACCCCAAAAGATAACGAGGTTTAGAACAGTGGTTAAGAGCTTTGTCTCTGGAGCCCAAGAAGCAAGTGTGATCTTGCTTTCACTACTCACTATCTGTGTGACCTTGGGAAAGTTGCTTAACCTCTCTGCATCTCAATGTCCACATCTGCAAAATGGGAATACTACAGTGCCCATCTTATAGGCTCCTGTGAAGATAAATGTTACTAACATAACATAAAGCGCTTAGAACACCCTATAGTATAGAGATATGTATTTGCTAATTAAACAAAAGAAACATGGAAGTCCAATACAATGTACTTCCTATAGAGGTAACCACAGCCTTAACAAAAGGTGCTTAGGCCCTCTCCCCACCATATGCTGACCCCACCCACTCTGACTTGCAAATAAACATTTCCCAGAAATAGGAAAAAGATATGCTTGGGAGCTCTAGTTTCAACCCTGACTGTCACATTCCTTGTTCTGTGAGCTTGGCCAAGTTGTTTTACACCCTGAACCACAGTTACGTTATTTATAGAATGAGACTAACTTCCTCCTGGAGTTGTTCTAAGCATCTAATCAGTGGCCAGCAAGAGGTGACGAGGGCCTGACCTGGACAGAGGTCCTGTTTGATCCTAATCACCTTGCTCTTTTACTAGCTATTTGTGGTGAACATTTTCGTTCTCTAATAATGAAAATAACTAACATTCATTGAGCACTTACTCTGGCCCTGTGCTATATACATCATCTTATTTAAATACTCACAATAAGATGAAAGCCCAGAGGGATTAAGTAACTTGTCCAAGATCACAGTGGAACTCAGTGGTAGAGCCAGGATTTAAAGCAGGACTGTCTGATTCCCAAGTCCGTGCTAATAACCCACCACCCACAGGTCTCCAACTCCACCTTAGCTCATAGAACTCAAGGAATATATATATTCTTTAGCATTCCTCTCCCATCCATACACACATGCTCTCCGCCAGCGCCCAGCAGCGCCCAGCACAGTAAATGCTGCACATATATTTACTGACTGAGTGAAAGTAAATGACGGTGACATCCTTTTATAATGATGAAAGCCCCTTTTTTCTTGGGCTGTCCCCAGTGGGGAATGAAAGCAGCTGGCCACCCTCCTCCCCACCCCCAGCATCCTCTTTCTGCTAAATGATCGTGCGGAAGGCCTTCCTCCTTTCCCGATGGGAGAGCCAGGCTTCTTGGTTTCAGAGCTCCACAACAGGCACGGCGATGACTCATCTTCAGTGAGCATTTGGAGAGATGTCAGGGCCATTGGTGCTTTTTAGGGCTCTGTTAACATGCATCTGTGGGGTGATTTGCAAATAATGGCCTTGGATAGGTCTGCCCTTGAACAATGCAGGTTTGAACTGTGCCAGTCCACTTATTTCCATGTATAAGTTCAAGGGTCACTGTATTTTCCATGCTCCATTGGGAATCCGTGTATGCAGAGGGCTGACTTAAGTTATTTGTGGACTTTCAACTGTGAGGGTGGTCTGTGCCCTTAACCCCCACATTGTTCAAGGTTCAATTGTATTAGTTTCCTAGGGATGCTATAACAAAATACCACAAACTGGGTGGCTTAAAACAATGCAAATTTATCCTCTCATGATTCAGGGGGCCTGAAATCCAAAATCAAGGTGTCAGCAGAGTTGGTTCCTTCTTGGGGGCTCAGAGGGGGGATCTGTTCAGTGCCTCTCTCCTGGCTTCTGGTGGTTGCCAGCAATCCTTGGCTCTCCTCGGCTTGTGGAAGCATCACTCCAATCTCTGCCTCCGTCATCCCATGGCATTCTCCCTGTATGTATGTGTTCAAATTTCCTTCTTCTTATAGGGACAGCAGTCGTGTTAGAGTGGGGCCTCCCTAACCCAGTAGAACTTCTTAACTTGATTATATCTGCAAAGACCCTATTTCCAAATAAGACCACATTCACAAGTATTGGGGGTTAGGACTTGAACATCTCTTCTTGAGGGGGCACAATTCAACCCATGATAATATGTTTGGGGCAGAAGGCAGTGTAGAGGGGGCAGAAAGTGAAGGAA